CAAAGCAAGTGTGACATTATTGGTAATCAAAATGAAAAGTTATAAATTAATATAGATTTGCAGCAATTAAACAGATTATGACAAAGTTGTGATGCTGTTGTGTGATTTTAATTGCTGGGTACAGTCACAGCCAGAATCAGGTTTGTGTGTGTCTGTCTGTGGTTGGGGGCGATTCAGACAATTATGTGCTTAAAATGACCTACTTTTCATGCTATGATCATTTTATGTTAGATAATGGTTTATCTATTATAATAGTTCTCACTCAAGAGAATATGGGATTTGAATCTCCATTGCTTGAAAGGGCTATTCGTACTGTTATTCACACATCTACAAAAAAAACAAAAAAAAAACCTTTAAGTGCACAACTTTGAAAAAGAAAAAAAAAAAGAAAAATTACTCGGTGTACCTTTCAGAGCAAACAACTAGTGTCATGCACTGCTTCTGAACAAGGACAGAATTTGAGGATTTTCAATTTGCTGTAGCTCACTTTAATACCGGACTGTTCCAACACAACTTGTGTGACCTTTCAAGAGTAATGGAATTACACTGAACTTCTCACCAACAGCAATGAGAGAGTGAAAAGGTTGTAAGACAAGAATCCACATGGCCAGGGGCCTTCAGACCTCAGCTGTAATACCAAACACAAAAACTGAAAGAGATCAGAGATCCATCATCCAGAACTTATGCTGAGATCGGCCTGATGGGGGCTTCACACAGGAGTCTTTTGTGTGTTCAAGCAGCACAACAGAACGCAATCCCACAGTCTCCGGAAGCAGTTTTAATGTTTTTTTTTTACTTATTGTAACTTCACACGGCCACTATTTGAGCAGTGTTGGGGTTAATGCATTACAAGTAACATGAGTTATGTACTGTAGCATCGGCGATTAAAGGGGCAGGGGCTCGGTTTTGGTGGGTGACCTCCTAAACACCTTTTTAAATTAGTTATAAAGTCCAAAATGACCGTAAAGAGTTGGGAGTAAAGGTCATTGCACACTGAGTCTGAAAATTTAATCCGAAATTTTCGCACGTTAAAAAATAAATACGACCTCACGTTATGTCAATCACGTTTACACACTGCCTCCGAAATTTTCGTCCGTCATAAAAAAATTCGGATCGGGTTCGTTTTTCGCATCCATTGCAAGCATTTTAAGAGGTGTTTTGACAGTTCAGAGCCACCGTACAAGCGAACGCTAAAATTCCGAATCAGTGTTGCCAAGTGGACTACTTTATCACTGTTGCCGCGGGTTGTTTTTCATGTCCGCGGGATTTTCGCACGTTAAAAAATAAATACGACCTCACGTTATGTCAATCACGTTTACACACTGCCTCCGAAATTTTCGTCCGTCATAAAAAAATTCGGATCGGGTTCGTTTTTCGCATCCATTGCAAGCATTTTAAGAGGTGTTTTGACAGTTCAGAGCCACCGTACAAGCGAACGCTAAAATTCCGAATCAGTGTTGCCAAGTGGACTACTTTATCACTGTTGCCGCGGGTTGTTTTTCATGTCTGCGGGTTAAAGTGACCCCGATAACGTGATATTTAGTCCCTGGAGTGCGAATTTTACAGGGGGAACCCTGCCAGAAACGTGTATTTTACCCTCCGGAACACGATTTTTAACGGGGAGCCCCCCTCGAAATGCGATTGGGCTAGCTTTAGGCTAGTTTTGAGCAGCAATTGGGCTGGTTTTGTTGTGAAAACATGGCAACCCTGTCCAGAATGGCGATTGTCAAGTTCATCCACTTCGTCTTGCAGCACAAAGCACTGTATATAGATCCTTTCACACTGAGTTCACAGGAATTGGTGGTCTTCTTTTTTAATATGTGGCTCTAGTATCGCTAGCAAAAGCATCAAACTGATGGTTTTAGGATTTCGAATACGAAAAAAAACGCATAAGAAAATGTCAGACTCAGTGTGCAGAGACCTTAAATCGGAAATCTGTCAGATCCGCGTCATGTGCATCGGGTTTTAAAGAGACAGTGCTGCTTTTAAAGTGAAACCTGCTGCAGTCTGTCATTGATGGAAATCAAAGAAAAAAAGAGAAATCACTGCTCTGCGCACTGATTAACTTTTGTAGCTTGAATAAAGATGAATCTATATAGCTTATGCATATACAATTTATAGTTTATGTGAAGATTGTTTTAAGTTCACTTAAATTAAAAGTTGTCATATTTTTCAGAGCCTATTAAGTGTTAATAATAATGGCTTTCAGTTATACTATAATGTTAAATGCCATAATTAATGGCAAAATAAATTGAGGGAAACATGCATTTAATAGAGACATCAGCAGCAGTATTGGCATCAATGAGACTGGTGTTCATTAATAATAGGCTACTTAGTAAAAAGATGCTATTAAACACATATTTAAATAATATGCAATTAATCGTGATTAATTACAGAAAAATGTGAAATTAAATAGTTTTTTTTATCGATTGACAAAACTAATGTTAACCTTTTATAGATGTTACTGTTGGTAATATTAGTTCATTTTACTGCTGAATATGCACTTCAGTTTAATTTCTAATTTTATAGGCCCCCCGGAAAGAGATCGGGACGGCCCCCACCCCCTTAGGCCTTCACATTTTGAATTCGATAATCCGGCCTTCAAATAAAGCTAATTGAATAGCCCTGGTATAAAAGCATGTCTTAACCCATTTTGCACCTGTGTTGGTAGTAGATTACACGCACCTTATTATCATCGTTTTGTTTGCTTGCGCTGCTTTAGGTAGATTGCGTAGGTCATGATGGAAATGCACCGGCTGCGCCTGTCTTCTTTATTTCACGCATTGTCAGTAAATCACCTGCAGAACTTTTCACTCCCATTGGCGCTTTTATGGGATTGTGCTCTCATGCTAGTAAATCTGTCCTTAGTGTGAACATGCATTTACTTATCTCACTTGCACAAAAACAGATTCAGTATTCCTCAAAATGAATAAAAACAGTGAAATGCAAACTCAGAATATGATGCAAACCTTTACTGCTGACCTTAAACTTTCTTCTCCTGCATCTTATTCTTCATGCAATCCAGAATGGCAGCTGAAAGGTTTATTTGAGCTGCGCCCTCTACTGTACAGATGTGAATTTACATTTATTTCAGCCTGAGGCTTATTCCTTTCACATTTGATGTTAAAGGGCTTTTACATTTGTCAAAAATATAACTTTTTTTATATTAAAAACAAACAAGCAAGCCCAGCCCAGATGAGAAAAAGTAATGCAGAAGTAAAGTAACGCATTACTTTTCATAAAAAGTAACTAACGCAATAACTTTTTTTTAGGAAGTAAAGCAATATTGTAATGCATTACTTTTAAAAGTAACTTTCCCTAACACTGCTGTTGAGTGCATGTGTACATAGATCAAGAAGAAGATCATTACATAGATCATTTAAAAATGTCCCATAGAGGTGCCACACTAAAGGGTCAAATTTAGCTGTTTGCACTGTCTAGAACAGTGTTTCCCAACCGGGGTGCCGTCTGTCGAGAGCAGGGGTGCCGTGTAAAAAAATATATTTTTTTATATTTTTAAATTGCTAAAATGTTCAAAAAAGCATCTATTATATAATATCCATTTCTGATGTCGCCAATAATTAGAGATGCACCGAAATTTCGGCTGCCGAAAATTAGTTCACCGCTCAGGTTTCACTTTCACAAGGTGTGACACTCTGCGTATTATCCCACTCTATGCGTGTACGCTCTGCTCAGTCGCTCCAGATAATTGGTAAAAAAAAAAAAAAAAGTTAAATATCTTAACCCTACTGTTAGACTAGGAAAAGCAATTTAAAACTAAAAAGCAATTTATTTAATTTGAAGGCCTGTCGTAATTTTTTTATTTGTGCTATCATTATTAATTCTGCTTACTTGTCATTTTTTATTCAATTCAAAGTTCTTACTATTGTTAAAAGCGCTATATAAATAAAGGTGACTTCACTTGACTTGACAAAGTTTGAAATCAAGCTATCTCGTGCGACTGCACCAAAATCACCCCACTGTAAAATATTTTGTAGGGTGCCACAAGTTTGTTAAAATTTCCAAAGGGTGCCGCGACTAAAAAAAGGTTGGGAAACACTGATCTAGAAAACCTCTTAAAATTATGAAATTAATTTCTTGTGCTTTTAACATCACAACTCATTTTAGTCACTAGTGGTTTTGGACTGTGCAGATTTTTGTGATGTCTTCAGCCAATCATGTAGCCATGAAGTCATTTTGGCTTAAAAGTGATTACTTATATGACATTTATGGCTCAGGTTATTGGCTCAAAAGGTTATGCAGTCCATGAGCAAAGATGGCAGATTTCAGACTGCTACTGGGAGGGTCCTGCACCAGCCAAGCAACTGCCATTGAGATAAATGGAAATGTTAATGGATAGCTCTCTCCACGTATTATAGTCCAATTAGTTCTTCCATAAATCATAAAGTGGATGTGAAAAGGGAATACTATATAAAATTCCTCAAGAAAATTCTGGGTGGCGAACTGAAAGTCTTAAAAATTAAGACTTGAAATAATATTATTAGCACTGTACTTTTTAAAACAAAATACAAAAATAAAAAATAAAGCCCCAAAATACACCTACAGGCAATTCAAGGTGTACTACCTTAAACGTTCTGTTTATAAAAGTCTGTTTTAAAAAGATGTTTATATATTTAATTAAAACAAAATATTTTTGTAGCCTAATTTTTTTACTTGACTCCTTTGAATTGTGTATATTTTATTCAGCACCACACATCATGTAGAGATAAATGACATTTAATAATAAAATAATTCCAACTATCCCCTAAACATCAAATTGGGTCGGGAAGTGCAATTGCCGCTGCTTAATTAAAAAGGAAGTGGACTGAATTGTAATGTTTTTCTTTTCTTTTCTGAAGGTCACATGTTTCTGACTTCTAGTAGTTTAACATCCCAAATATAGTTTTAGTAAGCTTGCTGCTTCATTAAGCAATAGCTGCTTATTAAAATCCACATTCCCTCTCTGTCTCTCACACACACACACACACATACACACTCACCTCCACCAGGAAGGGGTCGGTCTTAGTGGAACGTCCGGTCGCCACACACTGAAATGTGGCGTTCTGTCCTGCGTTCACCTCCACATCTCCGAGTCTGGAGAAATGAGGCACTTTATCTGTGCAAAAAGAGAAGTAACAGCTATTACTAAGGGATGTTAACCAATTAAAACTATAATCAAGTTAACTGTATGACAGACTAATTAATCAAATTAATTGCGATCAATCCTGGTATTGTCAAGAGGAAAATGAGAAACAAGAGACCAAAAAATGCAGATGAGCTGCATCCTTACAGCTGTCATCTATAATTGCATCAACGCGTCACTAATAAGTGAAGTTCAAGCGGTTTAATGATTTGTTCTGTCTGAGCGATCCGCATGTTTTATTGACTCACTAATAATGTAACGTGAGATGTAGGAGGTTTAACTGGCATTTTTCTTGCTGTAAAATCATGTGAGTGTATTGATTGCATTCCCTGTTATTGAATATAAGAGTAAAATAACATTGATTTTAAGGATGACTACTCAGTCTAGTGCCAGAAGTCGCATCACTAATGTATCCCATTTAACATAAAGGCACTACAGGCATCAGAGCAACGTTCTTATCACCATATTTTTTACTGACAAGTTTGGCCATTCATTGTTTTCATCCTCTTTGAAAAACACATCCTATATGAAAGGCCTTTGAGAAACGACTGGTGTGTTGTTGACATGAACCTGAACCTTTCCTTAAGGCTGACTAGTTGTTCAGCCGTGCGGTCAACGCATCGCCTAGTCAATAAAAAAAAAAATACATAAAGCAAACAAGGGAAATGCAGGACAGACGCGTCTGTCTGCTCTGCTTGCGACTCCTGCGGCATCATTTTGCTCTAGTTCTAGTGGAGCTGAGCAAAAACCTCACAGTGCTGCCTTTGGCAAGAGCACAGCATTCTGGGTAAACACACTGGCCTGTTTTTCTTGCTATGTCTCTATAGTTCACTGACATCCAAAATCCGGCCACTGATCAGTGAATCTACAACTGCCTAATGCTGTCCTCCCATATTACCTCTCTTTTATTTTTGTTTGCTTTCTTTTCTGAGAAGGAAGAAAGAAATGTCAGGTTTTCCAATAAGATTATGAAAGGGAATAGTCTTTTAAAATGTAGTTTTTAGTGCCAAATTCTAAGAAATACATTTTTGTATTTGTGTTGCTTTGATATGTTTAAGAGGAATTTGTATACCGTTTCAACTATATTTTTGGACCTAAAATAGTCTAATCATGTGATTATCAAAGGGAATAAAATTGTAAAATATTAAGGCAAGACACTAGAGGTGAACAGAGTAAAAAAAAAAAAAATTCTAATAGATTCCCTCATACTTTCCCTCGTTGATTAATCACAGTACATTACGAGTAATTGTTTTTGTAATGCAAGCTTTCTGAAATGTTAAATATGCAAATGAGGCCTTATCTAATTAAATATGCACTAATTGGCATACATTTCCAGAACATAAATCTGAACTTTGGATAAAGCCAGGTTCAAAATTGTGGTTTCATTTTGTCAGCATATTGACAGGTTTTGTTTGGTGGGAACACATGAGGAATAAACATAGACAGAAACACACACCAAAATGTCAAAAGCGTTGAGAAGGGGCCGTGTGAACGCCTAAGGTTGGGCAGTCTGATGTTGTATAATAGTGTCACACCACTGTTATGAAATCTTTAATGCGGCTCCATCTGCAGAGGACCGCGTGCTTTCGGGAGCCATATCTCCATGGTGACAGTCTCTCACCCTGACCCCAGGACAGGCTCTTCAATCCATTGCCATTCAAGACGACAAATGCTTGTTGCTTGAGGTGAGTTTTTGCGGTAAGGGTCCCTGGGTGAGTTTCTTAGAGACAAACAGTGGTTCTGAACTGAACCGGACTCTCTTCAACAGACAGTGTGTCTCGATGGGGTTTTATTTTCTCAGAAACACCCTCCATTATCATTCATTAGCATTAATGTGGATTAAACTTCAAGAAACGCACAGCCAGCTGAAGGAGCAGAGGGAACGGCATGTGCTACTAGTGAGAGCTAGTTAGGAGTGAGGAAAAGAAGATCTGTTTCAAACCCTAGTGAGCTGCTGTGCTTTCTACATAGGCAGCTACCCTCACAAGTGATTGATTTGAAATGTGTGCCACACAAATGTGATGTCTGCTTACAATAATATAAATGTATAGGGATAATAATAATTGGTTAGACATTATTTTAAAAAGTGATGCTGTTATATTCTAATTACTAGGGCTGCTTTCTAATAGTTGACTAAACTTTAGTTGACGAGAATAAGCTTAAGCCCAAAGTATACTTCGGTTTTTACGCATACATGAGAGTCCGCATACAGTGTGTGACGCAAATTTCGTCACCAGAATAGTATGTGCGTACTGTACGCGCACCATCCGATTTTTGTAACTGTACATAGTTTGTATGCTCAGGTCACTTGGTTTTGCACTTTGTGACAAGGAGGGTCAAAATCACAGGAGCAAAGTGGGCCTCCAAAAAGGATGTTTATTTCAAGCGGATGTGCAAAATGTGCAAATAAATATGTTTAAGAGCTTAAAAGAAAGATTATTATTAAAAACAGTCTAAAACTAGAACTGCTGAGTACTTAACACAGTACTAACTCCCCTCCACTACATTGAGGCTGGAGTTTTACATGCTACACAGCTCCACAATAATCTTGTTCACTAGCTCTCGATCCATGCAGCTCTCTCTTACTACTAGTGACAGCCATATTAAATAAACAATATTCCCGCTCTTACTCATTGGAACATACCATGTTTTTATAACATAAACTCTTGTCTCACAATATGATTTATACACGAGAATTAAGAACAAGAGTCAAACAGATAAACACAGTCAATACCATTAAAAAGAGGACGGATAAATCAAAACATTTGCACAAACATTTTCATAAATTAGCTAGAATGAGCGCTTCCCTTCAGTGCACAATATTACCACGACCACTCAGATCAGAAAATACATGAATATTATAACGCACCAGAAACAATAAGAACACAGTAAAAACAGTGATGGAAGACAACTTTAACGTCTTTCCATCACACACTAATCAGTTGTTCCACAAGGTGGCAGCACTGGCCTGGGCCACTTTCACAGTAGAAAAGAGATGGAACAACAACAGCAACTAAATATAGCTGCAAGCAGCAATTAAGGGGCAAAGCCTCTCCAGGAGCAGGGATGGAGACCCCTGTTAAAATCATTAGTTTGTGACCGTCGTCAGAGATTTGTGCTTTTTCTATTTAGTACTGGGGGTGGCGCTGTTGAGCGTATATACGGGGAACCAGGTAGGAAGTTATTTAAGAAAGTGTGATTGCGTCACTCTCTCTCGCTCTCTAGCCTTGGTTGTCAGGTGTGCGGGTTATTCCCGGTCATGGTCACGCTAGTGGATGGGTTGTGAGTATTGCTGTTGTAGCCCTCTTTGCATTGATGTGCTAATGCTACATTTAATGCTGCGGTCTTTTGTGCTTTTAATGCTTACGATTCGTATTTTGAGGAATATGTTTTCCTCATTGAATTTCGTTAAGCATTTGGAAGTTGTGTTGAGAGCGATTCGCGTGTAAATAGAGCGTTTTGAGAGAGAGTTTTTTCTAATTCGGTTGTGAGGTGATTGTGGTTTAAACGCTAATTTGGGGCATTATATGTAGTGTGTTTTGAGGAGGTTTTTGGTGAAGGGAGGTTTTTTTTGTATTTATTTTGGTGCTCGAGTTGTCGAATTCTATTGTTAATATTGTGTGTGTGATGTGATGAATTACGTTTCAGGCCCAGTAGTTTAATGAGTGACACGGTGAGCAAATTAATGTTTGTTTTTTGAATTTGTTGGATTAATATTGTTTGGGGTTAAGAATTAAAGTTTGTTGAAATTAATTTGTTAAAATAGTGTATTTGTATAGGGTAATAAATTAAAAAGGATTTTTTTCCCCTTTTCTTTTTTTTTTGAACTTTGCATCCAGATGATTTTTCTTATGCTTATTTTCTTCCCATGTGATTGTCTTATTTTATTGGGATTTCTATTTTGTCTTGTACAAGATTTATTGCATTACATTTAATTGTTTGAATTATTCAATTGTTTAATTATTTGCTGATTTATTTGTCACTCATTTATTGTAAGGTATTTAAAAGGCAAATGTTCCTGGGCCTGGAATTAAAATTGTTGTGATTTTATTTATTTTCTTTTTTCTTTTTCTGTGTTGAATATGATGTACTGAATTATGAGAATATGATTGGAATTGATGCTGAATAGAAAACTTTGGAAAAACCTTTCTTGTTGTTGCTTGTCCTATTTGATTCATAGGAAAGAATTGATAGTGGCTCTAATAATTTAATCCCTAATGATCAATTTAATTTAATAATTGTGGTGGTTTTTACCCCTGGCGCCCGAACCCAACCTTTTAAGGCCAAATACCGTCACAAGTTGATACAGCATTTTACTACAAAACTCAAAACAGCCAATACCCAAAAAAGCAGATATAGGAATTTCTTTTTTCTTTTTCCGTGTTGAATATGATGTACTGAATTATGAGAATATGATTGGAATTGATGCTGAATAGAAAACTTTGAAAAAAACTTTCTTGTTGTTGCTTGTCCTATTTGATTCATAGGAAAGAATTGATAGTGGCTCTAATAATTTAATCCCTAATGATCAATTTAATTTAATAATTGTGGTGGTTTTTACCCCTGGCGCCCGAACCCAACCTTTTAAGGCCAAATACCGTCACAAGTTGATACAGCATTTTACTACAAAACTCAAAACAGCCAATACCCAAAAAAGCAGATATAGGAAAACGTCTCAGGTTACGTATGTAACCATGGTTCCTCGGGGGAACGAGACGTTGCGTCGGAGAACGCTTTGGGAGCGCCTTCTTTTGGAGGCCGCCACACTTCTTGTCGAGTGAGCCTTGACCCCTAGCAGCGAGGGGAGATCAGAGGACTCATAAGAGATAGAGATCACATCCACTATCCACCGGCTGAGGGTCTGTTTCGTAGCTGGAAGACCTCTCTTATGGGGACCGTAGCAAACAAGCAGTTGGTCCGCCCTCCTCCACAGGGCAGCTCTGTGGACGTATGCGTCCAGTGCTCGCACTGGA